CGCGAGGCGGCGGCGACGTTGGTAGTGTATGGGCGGCCATCGGAGCAAAAAGACAAAATGAAACTACAATCAAAATTAGATTTCAAATAAAAATAAATAAAATGAAAGAAAAAAATAAAAATAAAACAAAACAGGCAAACACACAAATAAAATAAAAACAACAAATAAAAAAGAAACAAAAATAAAACACTCAAAACAAATAAACTGAAGAATAAATAAATAAAATGAGAAAACTTCAAAAATGTAAAACCTTGATACAAATTATACAAAAAAATTCAGAAAATATAGATAATTAAAAGATAAATTTTGAAAACGGAGAAGAAAAAAATAAAAGAGACAGTCATGACAAAAATGACAGAACAAACCAGAATAATTATTTCCGAAGAAGTAAAAAAAACCAGGCGATCTCGCAAAATTGAATTGTAACTTGCAAAACAAAAATGTGTCTCCCAAAACAAAATAATTGTATTTGTGTAAAAGACTGACCTACTACGAACGTTGGGGGCGTGCTTAGTGCTTTGGCCTGCATGCGACGCTTTATCATGTAAAACGTACCCAGTGCAGGCAGCACAGGCAGAAGAGCGTTACTCGCACATCGCCGTGGCGTATATGCATGCACACTCGTATAATGTAGGCCTAATCCTACTTAGCTTTCCGACACAATTTGACCTGCCTTGCTTCTAATGTCCAAAAAACCAACCAACCACCCGCGAATGGAAAAGGTCAGCATTGCAGTCATAATTAAATTTAATTCATATCAACATTGAACATGAAAAAATAAAAATTAATATAAATCAACAAGAAAATAACAGTTTAACAAAAAACATGGCAGTAAATTATTTGATTAAGACAAGTAAGCTCCATGGTGTGCATGTGTCATCATAATATTTATGTTTTTGTATTTGAGATTTCTTTTTTTACTTCTTTTCAAACAAGAATTGCAGTTTGTACTGTCAGGTTTTTTTTTTTTTTGCCAATTGCCCCCTCTTGTGAGCAAAACACCGTAGACCCCTACACCGCAGGCAACAATTGTTAAATGTGACTGTTTGTTAACATTTAAAAATGCGCACTGTGATTTGCTAATGCCTGCTGCGCGAAAACGCGCTGGCACTTGGATAGAGCATGGAGCTGAAGGAAAGGTTTATAAAGGATTTTCAGTCTTGTGAGTTTTGACGGTCAGTGTTCATTTTAGGCGCCTTTCCATATTATGAACTATTTTTGGATGTGTTGCGTAGACGACGCATTTATACTTTCACAGACATTAATGTAACACACGTGTGCGTTGCGTTCGGCGGTCAAAATCACCCTGGGAGCGATTTTGACGGATACGCAACGCTTGGCGTAAGTGCTGACGTGCATATGAAAAGACACCTTTACACAGAAGTGCGCGGAAATGCGTGCGCCTTCAAAGTCCCTCAACATTCTGGCGAACACGAAATCGCCAATAGAAATATACAGATTCGAAAATGCACGCGCCTCCACGGACATGGCACGTTTCCTGAAAAACCTTTGCCCGTCATGTTACGTCACGTGAAAAGCTCTATTAGGGTTGGAAGAACTGACGATACGGCCCTCTTTCCTTGCAATCCCGCCACAGTGATGGCGTCTCGAGTCTCGACTGTTAAATGGCTCCATTCGACTCGAGTTACTGCTAGCAAATGACTCGACTCGAATCTCGAATGAAAACTAATAAGACTCAAGTCCAAAACATAAAAGCTGACTTCCTCTTGAAAAATAGTTGCGATGACCAGGCCACTTTACAATGTTCCCAATGCATTTCCCATTAAAGGAGCCTCCGTTAATTGGTAGGTCAATTACGCCCTCTCTTAGTCCTGCTCGAGGTCCATAGGACTCTACTTGCAGACTTGTTTGTGTATACAGGTGGTTTGCGTGGTTTAAATTGTGCCTCCTGGGGAATCAGCCGCCCTCTTCATTTTCATGAAGAATAAAGTGTGGTATGACAGCGTGTAGTTGCCAGGTGCAAATTAAAATTGCCATGAAAGGCTTCTCTCTCATGTTTCATTTTTTTCTCATGACGCGAATATCTATGACTCAAATTGACTCAAGCTAAATTCTCCACTCGACTACAAATTATGACTCGACCCGACTTCTTTACCTCGACTCGACACGTGTCACTACTCTAAAAATGACTCGACTCTAGTTAAACATTTAGTGACGTTCCAGCTCTGCCCCAGCCTGACCCAAACTCTACCCATTCAAATAGTCGTGGCTCTACGTCGATCTAATGGTGTGTATCGCTTGATTCCCTGTGCAGTGCCGATGCCTCCGTTCATGATCGCGTTGCCAAGCTGCTCTCAGACGGTTTGTTCAAGTACATTGTGGGGCCCCGCTTGCTCGCCAACTTCATCCCCATCCTGCGATTCTTCCCCAGCAATGCACTTAGGGAGGCGCAGGCCACCGTTAATGAGCTGAATGGGCTACTGCGTTCGGAGATGAAACGACATCAGGAGAGTCTAGACCCAGGTTGGTTGGTTTATACGGTCATTTCAGTCAGTTTGAACTTCAACGTGTTCATCCTCATCTATATGCTGCATAATATTTATTAAAAATGCATTCAGTTTTTGAATTTATGTCTATTTGAGCCAGGAACTCACCAAGTAGATTTGTTAAGGTTAACATGTCATTGTTCTTTATTAGTTCGGACAGGTATCAGGGGATCATCGGTCTGCCAAACACTGTTCCTGGCACTCGACATGTGTGTGTCTTGTAACCCACCCCATCCTTTCACATAATTGTTGAGGCTTCTGACGCCTCGTGTGTTTTCGGGAGACGTAGCTTAAATTTTGTTTCGTTTTAATGTTCTGTGTCTCTCAGCCGTAAAGAGAAACTTGAACCGCAATGAAGGCTATGCACACATCACTGCAGTCTTATAAAATGTGTACAGGCGTGTCACACATAGTGTGGGCCTCTGCCCCCACAAAAGAAGTCCACATAATGTACGGTATGGTGACGCTGTGTGGACTTGCACATGTCCACACAATGTATCCCCCTCTCTGAAAAAAAACAGTTTTAGATGCATTTTGGGACAAGGTTACCGTGGCAAAATGAGGAGAAACAGTCAAGGAAATCTTCGAAAAAGGAGCATTGACTTTCATCACAGGAGAAGAAAGGAATGTCCACACTTTGTTGGTGCACATACGCGTGTTTTGCCTATTCCTACTTATTTCATGATTATTTCTTTATCATTTCGAAAATTCAAAAGCCCTTCTCGGAAATTGTTGTGACTTTTTGAGTCGCTTCAATTACTTATTTATCAATACTGTCGTTTTTCCCGCGTGTACTTCTGTATGAGACACCCAGAGGTGTTCCTCGGCACTTTGCGAAGTTTAATATCAATGGAGATGTTCGAAAATACCTTCAATTATTGTGATTACACGGGGTTAAATATGCTGAGGGAAAAACTTCGCGATTCAGCCCATTCCATCTCATCTCTGTGCCAAAACCTTAAACTTCACATTTCAAAGGGGACTATACGATCCTGAGGTTTCTGTACTGTCGAAATTACAGAGCAGATTTAAGTGGCTTAAAATCTTATGGACATTCACGCTTAACTCAAGCTGATTCCTCTGTGAACCTGGAAATGGTACAGGCCTATAGTTTCTATTTTGTCACTTTGTTCCAACAGAGAAAACCTTTCTCAAGATGGTATACTGCAGAAGGGGCTGCAAGCCCAATGTTGATGTAACAAAATAGACAAATTAGAGTTAAAGGCGTTGCTTTCTGTATACAGTCTGCATGGTGCAATAAGCCTTTCTGTGGAGTCATTCCAAAAGTAGTCGTGATGACGATTCTCCTTGTTGTGAACCTTTTTGATTTCCACCAAGTTGACCTCAGCACGCTGTTTTCTTGGTGGTCCCGAGCAAAATCCCGGGAAGAAACCAGACTCCAGCTCTGAATAGAAAAAAACTAGAATGAACATCCTCCAGCTGACATGGGATTTCCACCTGCTGAAAAAAACCTCCCTTCTGGCTCAGACGCAGTATGGACCCAGACTTGCTCTGAACAGATAGGGTTACAAGACATGGACCAACCACCTGTGAATGTTGCGAAGCAGGCCTCACCATGGGGGCACTGCCTCGACTGCCCTGTACTATCCAACCCCCTGCGCAGCCAAAAACAGATTGCAGAGTTCCTCACCCACGCAAAGACCTGTATCAAGAAATGGAAGACTGCCATTTAACCAACCTCGCTTTGAAGAACAAACAGAAGAAGTTCAATTTCAACAGTGGGACTCTTGAATTATCTTGAAATGACTGTAATGTAAGGCAATCTGTGAAATTTGTTTGCAGGGATTGCTATTATGGTAAAGAAAATAAACTGGAAAATACACTACTCTGAAAGGCTATAAAATATTACATGAAAAATCTCCAAATCCTAAGCCCCCATCAAATAATTAATCACCCCCCCCCCCCAAAAAAAATGCTGTGTATCTGCCCTTTCTTTACTCTGGACTCTGTTTGAGCGACATACATGAAGTATCGGCCAGAGAAAAGTAGAAGGGGTCGTCTTACACAGCATTTCACTTTGCCGCAGGGTGTTGTGAAAGCTGGTTTGTGCCTCCACATTCACACCTGTTGTAACTATCCACATAGCTCTTTATCTTCAATTGACACTGTAGGTATCTGGTAATGAGCGTGTTACTTTGTTAAGTTTACTTTCGAAGTAATCCTTATCATTGCCTTTTTTATCCCTTCCACTGTCTAGACATAACCCGTGACCTGATGGACGGTATCATCAAATGCAGAAATCACGCCCGAGAGACCGAACCCGACAAGTACGAGTTCCTCACCGAAACCCATGCCTACCAAGTTATCTCCAACTACCTCGGTGGAGGTGAGTGCCTTTTATTCATCCTATAAAGAAGGGTGGTTGATTGGCCGTCTTACAGGTTCCACCCTCCTGATTTCTGACCCTCCGTTTCTGAAGATTGTTCATTGGTAACCGGGTATATGGTTGCTGCAGCTTAGATTTCTCAGATGGAAATCTTATACTTCGTGCGGAAACCTGCGCCACTCATTTATGAAGTGAAAGGAAAAGAAAAAGATTTCCAACTTGAAGACTTTTGTTTCTTGAAAATTGAGTCATCTATCATCTTGGAAGCTCCGAGAAGGGGGAATACTCATCAACAGGTCTCTTAAATCCGACAGCTGCTGGCGCCCTCGTGGTGGCCTTACAGACTGGCGTGGCTCTCTTTGTCAGCAACCCGGAGCAGCAGGAGAAGTTCTCTGCCGCGGTGACCAGCGTGGTGGGCGAGGACCGAATGCCAGGACTGGACGACCAGGAGAAATCGGTGTACGTCCGTGCTACCATCGAAGAGATCCTCCGTTACGCATGCATCGCCCCTATCAGTGTCCCACACAAAACCTCAGAGGACATCACTTTCCGTAAGACAATCATTCATTGCTTCTTATCAGAAATGGAGTCTTAATAACTTCAGCTGTTTGTAATCGATTGGGCTTATTGATGACTCAGACCACATGTTATTCATGTGCCAAAACTCATCAGCGATCATATGGATGAAAATAATCTGATAATTAACTGGCACAAAAAGTATTCAGTACACGCTGCGATATTTTGCTCTTTTGTTGGAGAAAATATGTGTAATATTAAGCTTCGTAAAGTTGTAGTCGAGGTCAGAGTTGTTGCCAAGTTTATATGCATATTGTGAGGTAGAAAGTGTGAATCATTTTCTTGAGAATTTTCATAGAGTTTTTAATTGTTTTAAAATTCTATCAATTAAACATCCCTTCATTCACGCTATACTTTTTCGTCAAGGTGGGTTCAAAATTCCGGCCAATACAGGAATCTTGGTCAACTTCTACGGCCTTCACTTCAACGAAGAGTATTGGCCTGAGCCATTCAACTTCAAGCCAGGTATGTCTATACGTTTTTTTAATCGTCAAATTCACAAACTACGTGTATTTTGTTCTTTGTTCCTTATAAAAAGCCTATATGCCCAGAGCTGGACCGAGAGAGGGCGCAATTTTCCTAGGAACGGAATATCCTTTGGTCGGAAAATTGATGGCTGCACTCCCGTCAAAAATAGGGACCCCGCGTTTGGTCCGATATCTTCAGCATTACAAGCTAGCAGTCCTGCTGGTAGATTTCATCCTCCTTGTCCACGTGCCAAGAAATGCATGTAATTCGGTCCGCGCAGGCAAGATTAGGCCTAATTCTGGCCTGTAACTTGAAAGAAACCTTCCTTGCTGGGAGACTTGCGCCCTCTCTGGTCCCACTCGGGTCGGGTCGCCGTCGCTGTGTATGTGAAAGAAAATGTGGACATTTTCTACTCTTTGCTTAATTGTTTCCAGGCAGTTGGCATAGGCTTTTCGATTTATCTTTAATTTCAAACGAAATCGAAAACTTTCCAAAAAAAAACAACGGGAATTTTGAACTAAAATAAGGACAATCCCTATATACTGAATCCGATCACAAGGACATTTCTCCGATGATGTGACTGGATCGCCCGCCCTGTGTATTGAGACTGTTTTCGTCGGGCCTGTTATGGGTCTCGCAGTGAGCCAAACTAGTAACTGATCGCACAGGTCAGAGCCAACAAACAGGACAGACTTTCAAAACAAAACCACCATGATAATTGCCTTAAGATTGAAAGTTCTTTGTTTTTTGTTGATTTAGTTTAAAGTGGAATTGTACTGTGTTGCATTAAGTTACCCCGACAGTTTTGATGTGACCGTGATATGTTTCATTTCAACAGAACGCTTCATCGACGAGCGCGGTAACTTCAGATCAGATGAGCATATGTACCCTTTCGGATATGGTGCACGTTCGTGCGTGGGTCAGCCTGTGGCTCGGCAGTTGATGTACCTGATTCTCAGTTGGCTGACTCACCGCTACGCTCTATGCCGGGTCCCTGGGGAGGAGGACCGAGATCTGCTTCAGCAGGATCCAGACGTGCAAGTCGTGAAGGCTGTACCTCCGTTCGATCTTATCTTAAAGCGACGATTTTAAGGTGTATGTGCTTGGACAGTGGAAATGGGTGAGCCAAACGAAACCGCTGAATAAAACGCCTTAATACAACCGTATAGTGAACAGGTTCTTACGCGATTAATTCATTGCACACTTTTCAGTGACAGAAATTTACACCATACTTTTGTTGCAGTAAAACCATATTAACCTATTAATGATTTGATTTTTCGTTTTAAAAATTTTTGGTTTGGGGCTTTTGATTTTTGGCTTTGGTATTTTTTAGTGGTGGGGAGGTAGTTTTGGTTTGGGGTTTTGGTGTCTTGGATTTTTTATTTTGATTTTAGGTTTGGAATTTTGGATTTGATTTGTGTTTTGCTGAGTGGATTGGGAATTTCAGGTTTGAAATTCTAGGTTTTTTTCCTTTTGTTGGTTTTTGGGAATATACAGTATGCAGTTGTATGGCTCATTATGCAGTTGTATTGCTCATTACGCAGTTGTATGGCTCATTATGCAGTTGTATTGCTCATTATGCAGTTGTTTTGCTCATTATGCAGTTGTATGGCTCATTATGCAGTTGTATGGCTCATTATGCAGTTTTATAGCTCTTATAGTGCATGTATTATTATCACTCAAGTATTTTGGTTGTAGGGTGTAATTCAGTCAGTTTGTAAAAGTCTAAATAATTGACCCTTTTTAACTTCTGAGCGAACTAAGGTACCCGGGAATTTTGATTTCTTTGAAAGAAATTAAACATTTATTGGAAAGGCTGTTGGATTTGTAGATTTTGTACAAGTGGAATAATAAGGAGCCATGTCTTACACACCAGTTTTTCTTTTGGTATTGGCCTATCTAATGTGCTCATTGTGTCGAATGTGCTCATTGTGGCGAATGTGCTCAATGTATCGAGTCATTATGTTGTTCTTAGTGTGTGTATTTTCTCTTTGCCATTTTACAAGGAATATAAATGAGAGTCGGGGAGCAAGTCAGGCAAAATCTCTGTGTTATTCTTGACCAAAGACGCAACCAGGGTCACAGTTTGTAAGATGCCTCCCTGAGATAATGTCCAAAATGCCTCCCTTCCTTTTCCCAACAACGAAAAAAATACACTGAACAAAATTAGGCTTGCTTCACTAACTGTGTTCTATTTAAGATTTACAATTAATTATAACTTCTACAATAGCAGTATTTCCACTTTCCAAATTAAATTTGCTTTTAAATTACACACGTGTTATTCATTGTCTTCCATTCAACTTTTATCGATAAATTTAGTTGAATTCTACTTTTCTGCGGCTTAAACTTCACAAAATTTTAATATGAGGGGGTTTAACGGGAAACAGCAGGCGTAGTAAGGATAGGTAAAAGCCCGCACACAATCATGAGTAGCCGGCTGAACATTCGAAGCACCGCCTTCTAAATTGGGTGTCCTGCAACCGCACAGCTCCAGTACCCCTGGCTGTCAGCTATTTCTGGTCTTGTCTCTTTCACTGGACAGCCATGGTTGTGTGGTTCTATAGAGGGCGCAAATCTCCTTGGTGTTTCAAGAGCATTTTTATTATACCCAGCAAGAAATAAGACCGAGGGGTACCCCCCCAAAAATGTCCAATCCCTATACACATTCCAGACTACTGAACACATCCCCCCCAAGATGTCTGAAAGGAATTCCCCAGATTCCTGCGAGACAATGACCGACACAAGGCAGGGGGGGTTCTCTCCGTCTCATACCTTGCTGCATATGCTGTTACTATACATAGCGGCTAACATCGATTCCCTCACTCTTCCAATCAAGAACCCATACACCCCCAATCACTCCAAATCTTCTGAAGGCAAAACAACTCCCTAGAGACCTTTGTCTAAACACCTGAACGGTCAGGGTTGGAAGGACCGAGTAAAATGTACACAAACACTACTGCATACTGCGCTACTGGGTAATGAATGGACCATTTGAATAGGTACTGTATCAAACAATCGTTGGGGTGCAGGATTTCTGCGCTGTAGGATAAAACTTTTCAGACTTCATATATCACCATTTACATAAATAGCATTTTCCATCTACTCATAAACTGCACTGGTCGCTGTAACACAATTGGTGCCCGGGAGCATAGGTTAAGGAATGATTTACGCGTCCAAATCTGTTGTTTGACGCCAGGACTGTTTGTTTACCCTTTAGCTCAGATGCCCATTTTGGACTCAGCCTCCGTGTTAAGGCTGGTTATACTGGAAGCGAATGCGGAAGCGAAGAGAATTTGACGTATGTCACAAACGATTTGAAGCGAAAGGTTCCCCCGAGTTGAAATGTATTCAACTTTTGCGAATTTGTATCGCAAATAAATTACGTGATCTGGCCTAGTAATTACGCGCTCGTGTTCGCTTTCGTGCCAAGTTTGAACCGGTGAAAAAGGTAAAACTGCCCCCCCCCTAAAAGTGTCTGTCAAGACGTAAAAGTAAAAAATCTCTAGGTGAATCTGTCCCCTTGTCCAACGGTAACCACCACCCCCCAAGAAATGTGTCCCCGGTGCAATCATTTATGTCACAAGTCCATCACCCAGACTGAGATGTAGACCTATCACTTTATTTCAACTGTTTTCGAGCAACGTGTAAGCAGACACCGAGCTTTTTCTGGAAAGATCGTCAAAAACACGGCGATTGGATGAGACGCGGATGTCCATGGCGACCGAGTTGGTGCGCACAGAAGTTGTAATTGTCCGACTTCACTAGAATTGAAATAAAAACAGCTTCCCAATCTTGAAGTCCGATTACGTTTGAGATACTCTAATATTTTTCAACGAATACATACCAGCCTGTCTGTCTTTCGCAGATAAGAGTCCAGTTCAACTCAGGGCTGAAAGAGGGATGTTTTATGTACTTAGCTCTGAGAGTCCGTTGGTTGACGTTCAGTTTGGAAACGTCGTGGTAGAAAGTGAGGTATGCTTTGCGTCATTTGCTGCAATGTCCACCAATCATCACGTGGTATAAATAATGCAGTCATTAACATGGCCTGTAACCAGCCCAATCAGATCAAATGAAACACCCGTGAACTTCGAATTCCTGCGTATAGACATAGCGCCCTCCAAGCCTTTCCAGGATAACGAGGGCGCTGTTGCTGTGACGTATATTAGGAAAGACGCCGTTCGATTTACATGTACGTACATGTACATGCTTTCGTTTCACCTTTTCAACAACGTATTTACTCTTTGAAAACACTGTGAAAATATTCTCTGACATATTGCCATACACTTACGCAACAATAAATTGCCAAAGAAATTTACGACGGCAAAATATTAAAATTTCACATTAATCAATGCAGTTAACACTGACGTTCAGTGCCTGGTGGCACCACAGTTTTGCTCATGAATATGAGAATTTAAATTAACAAGCATTAGGGTTCCAAAATAAAAATTGCAGTACCCAAAGCACAAAATGAAAGTAAGGTTGCGTCACTTGGCTGTGGCTTGAAATTATACACGACTCGGTGGGAATCGGCCTTGGCCACTACTGTAGAATTTCTAGCCGCAGCCGACTGGACACGACCTAAGGTCAACAGCAACTCGGGAGCCGTTTAATTAAAAGGCTGTAAGATAAGATCGGAAAGATTAATACGGGCCTGGAAATATACCTACGCTTCCAATACAAAGTGACAACAGAATCGAAGCTGTGACCAAAACACCTTATTCAGGCGTGACTGATGTTCAACTTGAAATTTTCTATGTGCGGTGCACGTCAAGATTTTATTTTGGCAATAAGGGTATGACGGCGGAGTTGAATCACATTCAGGAATTTTGGAACTGCATCGTACCTTACAGGTTTTAAGGAGCATGTCAAAAAATGGCAAGTAACAAGTTAAAGACTCGGTTAAAGGGGCCATAAGATTTAGTGGGTTATATATAACTGTCTAATGCAGTATGACTCACCTTTGTATCCAATTACATTTTTTCCATCCTTCATTTTATATTTATAGGTGGCTCTATTTTTCCTTTGTCACAGAATGCAGGCTTGTCAAAAGAGCATAAGAAAAAGAACAAAACTTTGTCCTTCAAAGCTACCCCCCAAGATAATTGTGCTGATTTATAGGTACAGGTCATCACTATTGGCCACACACAACAATCAAGTAAAATTCAAGTGGAACTAATTCAAACAAAATAGAAGAAATGTGTGAACTTTGGAGTCAGTACCGTTTTGCCTCAGATGACTTTACGTTAAAGCTATGCATATGGAAACTATTATAAGCATAAAAAACAACACGTTGAAGTTTTTCCCTTTTACTATCACAGATCGAGGAGATGGAATGTCGTAGGAACACTGCAATTGAGCTTTTATATATGTGTACAAAAATATCTTATTTTTGTATCTCCCCTGAGGTTCCTAAAGACTTCAGCAAATAGGTAATAATTTTGTGAATAAAAATAGAAGAAAGTACATGTATCTCAAGAAACCTTCTTGTGTTGACCCTTCTCTCATGGGTGAACACTCATATCGATGATCATGTCATGAAATCTGGTCACATGCACGCGGCACACGGTTAGTATGTGATACACAGATTGTACTCGCCTCCCACGTAACTTGCATGCCCAGACGGTTCGAAACATGAACATTTTAAGTTGTCCTCTTACCCTATCGATCGGCCAGTCACCGTGACATGCCCCCCGGCCAGTCGCTGAGCCCGATGGGTAACTTGTCTCACACAAACGGTGTAATCAGGCGTGATTTACAACAAACCACATCGTCATTCCTAAGCCCCTAATGAAGGCCGGTTGCGATGGCACCATAATAATGTAAGCCTGAGGAACTCCTTGGGGAAGCTGTGCTGAAACTAAGCCGCCGGTGAGTTGAAACTCAGAACATAGAGCAAACACCCGGCCATCTTCTCCAAAACGGATTAGGCCTACGCCCAGCAAGATATGGGACGGAAGGGTACCCCCCGACATGTACAATCCTAATACACAACCTAGACTAGAGTATTGTACCTAGCACATCCCCCAGATGTCTGTACAGAATTCCTGAGATTCTGATCAAATAATGACCAACAAAAAGGTGTGTGTGTGGGGGGGGTGCTCTCCGTCCCGTATCTTGCTTCATAGGTCTCCAAAGACGTATGCGCATGCCGCCGCAAACCTTCACTTGTCCTTTTTTATAGCTCCGTGTTCACACACTACCACCATTGTGTAATGTTTCAAGTCTTACATTCATTCCTACTGGGCAAACTAAGAATATGACGGAAAATTCAAACACATTGATGATTTTTCTCACAATCGATGCATCCGATTCGTATTGATGAATGGATAAGCAATTAGGACTCTTTCGTGACAGCTGTTGCTTTTTTTTTCTACAAGAAGTTGTGTGGAATGTCATCAAAGCCATGTGGCATTTTCCCAAGAAATATCGCCATTTTCATTCCTGGATTTCTACTGTCAGCGTCTTTCAGGATATTGCTTACACCCTTCCTTCTGTTTTCCTTCCTCCATGTTTACTCGTAGTGCCTTAGTTACAGTCGTTGCCAGACAAGACGGCTATTTTTACGACGCGTTTGTATGTGATCATAGAGGAAGGACAAAGGAGTTGCAACTCTGGTACTTCGAAGTGTTCAATGATGGTCGCCGCTGAATCAGACGAATAATAGAAAACACTCCAAAAATACCTGATTACTGCCCGCACTGGTCCCAGCCGGTGTCAGATGCAATTGTGTCCGCCATGCCAATACTGTCCACTTCGGACACTTTTGCACACGCAGTCACGTCCAGGGCTATGCAAAACCGTCCAACGTATTTAGTTGAGAGCGCTGCGTGCAACATGTGCAGCATGAATATTCACGTATCACAATATGACTGCAGCTGAGCTTACTGCAACGGTTTCAACGCGTTTATTTTTTTTTTCTTCAAGGCTGTTGACATATTTATATACATAAACCGGGGATGTCGTGGACAAGCAATTTTCACGGGTCCGCCTTGCCCGGGGCTTGTTTTTGCTTAATTTGTGACCATAGGCTTCGATGGGGGGGGACCTGTTTGTGAAATATCGACCTGTGGTAAATGAATCCCGAGACAAACCCGACTGTATGATGCAGCTTAATAGATATGTTTTGTAATTTTCGCAGGGACGGAGGGCTGTTTGCTTAGCGCCTTGTCAGGTTCACCTTTCAAAATTTTGTTTCATAAATAGTGATTTTGATAAAGTGAAACGTGGGTCCCAAGGAAGCATTCTTTTAGAGGTAGTGATCGATGCATCA